AAATGTCTCACTACTCACTAAATGTGAAGGGGGGGTAACCACAAAACAAAACTCTGGCTTTCCTTGGGAATGAGTATATATATGCTTGAACATTTTAATGTTTTGCACTCCTGCAGAAGGAGAGGTCATCTCCCTTGCACAATGGCTTATGTGCAATAGCTATGAAGACTTTAAAAAAATACTATTTGGATACAGCCAGATTTAGCTATTGTTTTCACTTTTCACAAGCGTTGGCCATTCAGCCTGTCGGTCTGTTAAGAGAAAATAATTTAAAAGTGATAGGAACTATATCTTATGCAGGACTGAGATCTCTGTGTCAAGTTCCTAGTTGTTACCAAGTCTAGGAGACAGGGTGCTTTAGACTTCCGGCTGTAACCTTAATGCTTTTAATTGTTCTCTTGAAATAATTTATGTGGCCAGTTCTTAGAGCACACAAGGAATAGTTAAGACTCTTAATTCTGTTCCTGCTTGCTTTTTGTTATTCAAAATTGTGCAACTATGTAACCTAGTCATAGAATCATATAATCATCTAGGTTGGAAGGGACCTTTAAGATCATCTAGTCCAAGCATCAACCTAACTCTGATTAAAAAAAAACAACCACCTAACAACCCGTCACTAAACCATGTTACTGAGAACTATGTCAACCTGTCTTTTAAATACCTCCAGGGATAGTGCCTCAACCACTTCCTTGGGCAGCCCATTCCAATGCTTAATAACCCTTTCTGTGTAAAAAAATTTCCTGATGTCCTACCTGAACCTCCCCAGGCGCAACTTGAAGCCATTTCCTCTTGTCCTATCACCTGTGACTAGTCATCACACAGGTGTCTCTCCCCTGAGAGTTATGCCTTTAACTTCATCCTGGGAAATACAAAGGGACCTTTCGGATCCTTTCTGATAACTTGCAGAAGTGTGCTTCCTAGGATTCTAATCCAGGTTGGTTGGTCCATTGGTGACTGGTTGGGGAGCTGGGGAGGAATCAGCTTCCAATTATCTTGTATCTGTAACTGCACCACCCTTGTGGGGTTGAGGGAGGGAGGTCTAGGGATATCGAACTGATGAGCTGCGGTAGGATAAGAGGGCATACAGGCTTTGTTTGGGCAAAACCCAAAATCTGTGCTTTTTGCCTCTGATATTTCAGGAAGCAAACTTCTTCACCAGCAGGAGAAAGGACAGTTGGTGAGAAGGCATTCATGCTATGAGAAACTTGTTAATATTTGAGGTTTCTGCTGAGGAATTGTGTCAGGAGGAGCTGAATTGACTTTTTCACTTTCCTACTATCAACTATGAAGAACTTTCTAGGGGAAAAAATAAGTCTTAAATTTATTGCTGCCCATATATGGACAATGCAGAAAGCCCAGAGGGCGGAGTTCAGTGTTGTAGGATGGCGAGGGCACAGCCTTCATAGTAAGTAAGATATGGCATCAATCTGTAGGACTTTGAGCCCAAACAAAACGCCAGCTCACGAGACAGGGAGTTTTGCATAAAGACTGGATGAACTGGAATCCTTTTAAAATTGAGTACAGATCTACAGATCTCATTTTTGACATGACAACTGGAGAGTACAGTTGATACCTCAGTTGGTTGAGTGGAAGCTGGAGCACACACATAATGTTGAAGCCTAATGTATTGGTTCTTATCAAAAGGTCGTCGGAACAGATGAGCTGCTACTAGAGCCACAATGCAGCTTAGTGTGAACTTAAAACCGCACTCCTCTCCTGTCTCAGTTGAGATACAAGCTCAGGGAATCCATGACTATAAGCATCTCTCTTAATGTGTGTGTGTGTGTATGTCTGCTCACTGGATACTGTCCTCATAGGAGCACTGTGAAGCTTCATTAAAGTTTTTAAAGTGCTTTATGATCCTCAGATGGAAGGTGCTTAGAAATGAAGTGTTTGTAATCAGATAAGTTAGTAGCACATAACAAGGATATAACCTATTAACACTAGCTATTAACAGCGTTGTTAGCATCAGAAAGCTTAATGGTTAGGTTTTAAAGTGCAATTGCCCTCTGAAAAGGGATGTGCAGATTTCGCATATGCTGTGTACTTTTATGCTCTACTCCATTGTTTTCTGAATTACTGTGCTGCTGCTTCTTCCACAATTTTGGTGGGGAAACGCTGCCTTAAAAAAAATACAATACACACACACTCCCAACCAACCAAAAAAAACCCCACTCCAAACCAAAACAAAAACCCAAAACTTTTTGTGAGCCATCTTAACCAATATGCCAAGAGCAATAGATAAAGAATGAAGTATGTTTCAGTTGTTAGCTTAGTTAAAAATATAGAAATTAAAGCATTTATTTAATTTATTTTTATATTAAAATAATAATTTTGAAGTTGCTTCCAAATAACATTTTAAAGGAGACAAAACATGGGTAATCTCCACCTTGTCAAGTGGAGTCCATGGTTCTTCCTGGAAGACAAACTAGTCAAGGTAAAAACTCAGGCCGATGGCCCATACATTTCTAACAGAATGTATGGCTGAATAACCCAAGATGTTTTATCCATGGTGCAGTTATTTAAGAATTGCTCATAGTCATCTCTCTAAATATTTTTGGTTCACTGATTATTTGCTTGCCCCAAAAAAAGTTTTCTGATTAAAAAAGCTTCATCAATAGAATATTGACAAGGTGAAATTCTGTAGCAGTAATTTATGCTTGATACACAGCAACTCGAGTGCTGGTTGCTTTAAGTCATCACAGTGTTAGCAACTTCTTAAAGCTTCCAGGACTTCAGAGCAGAGAACTGGCAAGCCCTACTGAAGTTAAGAGGCTTTAAAAGTAAAACAATTTGGCTTTTGAGAGGGAGGAAAATTATCTGTAGCTTAGTGCATACTGTCACTCTTAGTGTGAACATGTCTGGAACATGCAGCTGCAGTACTTCATGTAATTTTTCAGAAGGGGGATAGCTGTTTCATAAATATGCATATATATTTGCTTTTATGAAATTGTGTGAATCAGATGCCTAGCAGTTGGTTTGGGGTTTGTCTTTAGATATTCAGAGCAATTGTGGTGTTCTCTTCGGGTGTTGCCACAAATAAGAACACATTCCCTGAGATTTCACCACATTTCTTAAATTGCTGCCTTTGGTTTAGCCCTGCCAGAAAGCACAGCGAGCTGTTACATCCAGCAGCCTGAGTCTCTGCTTTCGATCAGACAGAGCAACCTGAAAAGCTACCGTCTAACTGCTTTTGTTTCAGTGTAAGTACCCCTAAAGGCGACACACATCAGCTATTTGATGAGTTTCATGAGCCTGCAGAGATAGAGGTAGGAGTGGTTAGGGTCCTGTTGACGAAATGCCCTCATTGGGGGACACCACCCCCACCCCTCCCTTGAGAGTTTCTGTACCTTACCATGAGGGCAGTTTGAGCAAAGTGTGTCAAAACCTGAGCCATATTAGCCATTCGTGCCTCCTGATGCTTTATTTTTGAAGAATAATGTATAGCCAATGACTTATGTAGCATGATAATACACATTAGTGATTTTTATTCTCATTCATAAGATGTGTGGTTTATGCCTCCCCAAATTCATTCCTACCAAGTGTCTTCCCCTGACTGTTTAAGTTAGTTTCATTCTGTGGTGTTTTTTCACTGCTCATGTGCTGTTAGTTTGTTGTTTGTTTTTTTTCCCCACTGCCCACATAGTTACAATGCAAAAAAAAAATATCCTTCCAATACCTGAAGGGAGCCTACAGGAGAGCTGGCGAGGGACTCTTTGTCAGGAGGTGTAGTGACAGGACAAGGGGTAACGGTTTTAAACTGAAAGAGGGGAGATTTAGATTAGATATTAGGAAGAAATTCTTTACTGTGAGGGTGGTGAAACACTGGAACAGGTTGCCCAGAGAAGCTGTGGATGCCCCATCCCTGGAAGTGTCCAAGGCCAGGCTGGATGGGGCTTTGAGCAACCTGGTCTGGTGGGAGGTGTCCCTGCCCGTGGCAGGGGGGTTGGAACTGGATGATCTTTAAGGCCCCTTCCAACCTGAACCATTTTGTGATTCTAAAACCGCACAGAAATACAAACTTGTGTACTTTAAGGGTTCGGCCCCAAGGATGTTCCTGTGAGGTGCTGTCAGTTACCTCACTGCCGGCCATGGGTCCCTTACACTGTTGACTCAAGCTTTTGTTACCCGTCTTGGGGTGATTCAGGAGCAAGCCTCCTCCCAGCAGAATTGCACTTGCATTCTGTTTTCCATATTCTGTTTCTGAACTATCTTCTTCAGTGTTTCCGCACGTTCAAAGTAATGCCTGGAAACCACCTGCAGTTTTTTTTTATGTAGCAGTGTGCTGGGAGTCTCTCTTTCAACCGTTGGAGCATTTATCTATGGAAATTGTGGGAAAAGACTATTGAGTGTCAGCCTGAGTATTGAAAGAGTGAGGGCAGCAGGAGAGAAGAGGCAGTTTGCTCTGCTGTCCTGCAGGTCTCCACACCTCTGAACCTGGGTCTCAGGTTTATGGTGTGCGTGTCGTGCAGACAGCCTGGTTACAGCCAGGTTTGTGGTAGGCTGAGGATGAACCTCTTCTCCTCTACTTCAGTCGCGATGGGGAACTTCTTAAAAACGTGGTTCCCTCTCGAGGGTAAGTACCAGGGTCAGAGGTGCCCTGTGCAGACGAGCGCGTGTGGCTGGTGGGACATGCATATTTTGTCATTCACCCTTTATCGGTTCTGCAACTTCAATGTAGAGTTAGCAAAAGTGCCTGCTTTATTTTTAGCTAGTTTTAAAGAAAAAAGCTCCAGCTGAGTTGCTCTCCTTATTCTCACGGCTCACCTGTTTCACCCTTTCTGCGTGTTGCCTTCGCCTGATGGACGGAGAAGAAGCGAGCGGGGAGAAGTTGTTGTATCCTTCCCCCCTCCCCAACCCCCTCGGCGCAGGCCGGGCGCTGTCCCTTTAAGGCGGGAAGTAGGGCTGGCCCCGCCCCGTGATTGACAGCCGCCGGGAGTCACATGACCTGCCTCTATTTGAAGGTCACAAAAAGCTGCTTCCTTTAGAGAGAGCAAGAGGGAGCGAGAGGGAGGGAGCGAGAGGGAGAGTGAGTGAGGGAGTTCAAGCCAAAATGGCCGACAGAGTCTCTGCTGGTTTCTGAACATTTGAAATAAAAATTAAAAAAAAAACAACAAAAAAAATTTACAAAAACAAACAAAAAGAACAAAAAAAGCAAAACAAACACAAAATCATTTTTTGGATCTTTTTTTCATTTCCATTTCTACCTTGTATGCCTCAACTCGCTGGATTTAAGCACTGCTGCACTTTATGAGGTTAGTGGTACGTTTATATTTTATTATTACTGGTTTTACCTATAAGTAGATTTTTAAGAGCCTGAGCTCACCGTTTTCGTCCGTGTTTTTTTTTCTAGCACAGATACTTGCTTCCGATCTTGTTTGGGTTTACGTGTAAAGCACTTTTAAGTGGATTTTTAGTCCTTTTTTGGAAGGAGGTCTCCGTAGAAGTGTATTGTGGATTTTGAAGAGATCTGTAATGTAAAACACTTAGGCAAATTACAGGAGATCGTTTGTGTTTTCCAAGCTGGTGAAGTACAAGATAGTACTGAAAATCTTGTTTTATTTAAATAGAGGCTTCTTAAACAGTGGTTTCTTCCCCACAGCACCCGAAGCTCTTAAATCTGCTGCAAAAATTTGCATATATAAAAATGGGTTTGCATTCTCTCTGCTGCTGGGTCCGACGAGGGACAGATGGGGAAGTGTTCTCACCGGCCCGCTCTGCCCAGGGAGAAATGGCGGGGGGGGGGGGGGGGGGGGGGGGGGGGGGGGGGGGAGACAAGTCAGTCACGGTAAAGGAGAGAGGACTCTAGAGAGAGCATACGGGATCAGCAGTGGGGCTACTGTAATGCCAAATATAGCAAGCGGGGAAACAACAGATAGTGGCTGCTGAGAAACTGTTGTTGTTCTCACTGTGTAGATATGATGTGGTTTCTGTTCAAGGAGGATTATCAGACCTGCACAGACCTTAACCGAAAAAAAGCCTAAAATCAGGTACCTAAACACGCCCGACGCCAGGTTTGGGGGGTGAGAGGATCCCCGGGCTGGCGGAGCCCGTCGGGCGGAGCGCACCCCACCGCCAGCGGGCTCCTGCGAGGGCTGGGGCCGGGGCTCCCTTCCCCCTCTGCGGGGCCAAACGGCCCTGTGTCCCCCCCCCAAACATGGGGCGCGGGGAGCGGCGGGCGGCTGGGCGTGCTGGGGAGCGCCGGCTTGCCAAAGGTCTGGCCCCGTCCGGTCGCCCAGAAGGTAAAGGGGAGGGGGGGGTACCCTTCTCGCCTTAACGGGTCTGGAGACTGATAAAATGTGGGACAGATATTTAGGAATGCGCGCTTGCCAACGTAAGAGCTGGGTGCTGCTGATGTTTTGTAGGCTTTTGCTCCGTATTCTTTAGAAAACGGGTATTCGCCTGCACGTTAGTAAATGTAGGCTAAAAGGGCTGTGTTTTGTCGCATTTTACCCTTCTTCTATGTTACTAAAAATTTAAATCCAAGTTATTTTTGCATCTCCCTCCAGAACCAAGCAGAATGTTAAAGGGAAATAGCTGAAGCTTGCTTTCAGAGAACAGACCCCTCCTCCTACATTGTAAGAGTGTGATGTAATGCTCCTTTCTGTGAGGGTAAACGAAAAAAATGTCTGTGGTGGTGTACGTTATTCTTCACCCCTTCCTGATTAGGTTTTGTACTGTGATATTTTTTTGTAGCTGGGTATTTAAGTAGCAGATAATTATGCAAATAATCATGTGAATGTACTTTTACATTGCAGTGTATGTATGCATTGATTATGGTTAGCAGGTCAAACTAGTAAACCAACAAGATGGGTCATATCTTATATTTCTTTGTGGCCTTACATCCATACAGTTAAATACAAGTGGAGGAGACAAGATTTGGATATTGTTTCTGAAAATATATCGGAGTGTCTTCATTATAGTCTTGTAGTAGTATATATCAGGGGGTTTTAATTTTCCCTCTCCTCCCCCCCCGCCCCCGTCATCCCCCCTTCCAGTGGCTAGCAAATATTTGAAATAATTCGGCAGTATATTAAGTTTCTCTTGAAAATGAAAGGTAGTTTTTAAATTTTTAATTAGAGCAAGCCAGTAAAAAAGAAGTCCACTCAAATTTGGTATAGTGTATTGTGCTGATAATTTTGGTCTGAAAAAGTTTAATAGTAATGGATAACTGCGTATGAATACATTCTCCCTGTTTAGGGTTAATTAACTTCATTAGATTCCACCCTTGTATTATTGGCATGTATTTGTGTGAGGGAATATTATAAAAACATTCTGTGTCTTTGACCTGATGCAGCCTGATGGCTTCTTTTACTGATAGCTTTCTTGGGCTTAAGAGATCCTGATGTAGCCAGAATATGGTGAATATACCTGTTGATTGACAAGCTTAATTAGACACTAGAACTGTTTTTAAATGCAACATAAAGTAGTAGTGTTCTCAGATTTGGTACTTATTGGACCAAGATATTAATTATGTAGTTTGTGTGATAATTGGTATAGCGTAGGATGGCTGAACTCCATGAAAAACTAAGTCTTATCCTGAATTAGCAGTACTGTAGGACATAGCCTTCCCAGAGTCTGCACTTGAGAAAAGTATTTACCTTTCCTGTGTATTTTTCACCTTTGTGCATTACTGTCTGCTATACATTTCCAAATTGTGTAAACGTTAGTATAGCTTGGTAACTAGGAAGATGGAATACAGAATATTTTCTAATAAGTACAACTGCTTATAGCTATGGAAGCTGTCATGAATCAAACAAAAAGCAACTATTGAGAATAATAGAAGTGATTCCAGTATAGAGTCTGTTAAGCATTTAAGTAGCTTTGTGAGACAGTACACCGTGAATAGGAAGGACCAATTAAAATAATTCCTCATATAAATATGTCTTTGACCTATCAAATCGTAGCGTAGGGTGTGTTGTGGGCCCTGCAGACTGTGAAATGATAGGATGTTAAAAGTGTGGGTCTGGACAATTCTCAATACTGTTTGCATGCAGTGTATTTGTGCAGTACAAAGGGAAAAAATACTTATTTATAATTTTGAGAGATTTGAGTTGCAATTTCTAGATGAGTTTGAAGCTTGCAGAAGTGTTGGGGTGGCAGAGCCTTTTTTTACTTTGTTCAGTTTACAGTGATAACAGTGGGTTTGGAAGTGTATTTCATTTTTCTGTTTGCATTTGTATGTCTGGTATCTACAGGAATCAGTTCCTTTCCAAAGTAGGCTATTTTAGTAGGTTGAAAACTACAGTGAAGCCTGTAGTCAGCAGAGCCCCTGTAGTTTTTTTCCACTACATCTAAGAGATTCTTGAGAAATAATTGACAAGAAAAACCTTATTACCATTGAGCTTCAATATACAGGAGTCTGTAGTTATAATGGGGAAAAAAATTCAGGGAAAACAAGTGTCTGAAAATCAGTATGCTTACTTTCACCAGCTTTTTTTAGTCTCTCTCTCTGCTGCTGGGAAGAAAAAAACAAAAAAAAAACTTCATAGGATCATACAGTCTGTGTCAGCTTGTTTCAGCTAAACTTAACCTTTTGAGACCTTTGTCTCTTACTTATTAATAGATGGCTGAGTAGGGGAGAAAGCATTCAAATCTATAAATGAAGAAGAATCTACAGAATTAGTGTATTGCTGGAAGAGAATTTTTTTGTGCACCTTTCCTATAGTACCACTGCAAAAACTTTTTGTGGCGTGTAGCTTGAAGCAGAATTCTTTAATTCTGGTCACTACTGATCTACTTTCCTTTTCGTGGTCAGGGTGGAAAGTGGGAAGTTTAACTTACAGTTTATTTTTAACAATATTTGTTGGAATCTGCACATTTGGTATTGACTTCAGCTGGCAGTTGTGTTATAACTGAAAAGTCTGAGGGATTTTTTTTGTTTAATTGATAAAGAAGAAACTTGCCGCCTTCTTAAGTTCTGGTTTCCTATTTAAACAGCTCAAGATTTGAGGCAGGAAAATAAGATGCATAGGATGCTCTAGGTCTGAAAAGCTATGCTTCATGTCCTGCCAAGGGGATCAGGTTCCAGAAAGTCTTGTTAAGGGTGGTGTGTAATGTCAGGGCAAAAGTAAGATGTCTTTTCCCTTAGAAGAATCCTGCTGGGGATGCTGGTTTGATTTTAAGTGGCTAAACTCTAAATATTTAGCTATAATTATTGCTCCAGAATTAATTTGATAAACAGATGTAGAATTCAGTTTAGATGAATGCAAAAATTTATTGCTTCTTAAAGCAAGAGAAGTTCAGTATTTATTCCAAGAAACAGCGGCTTTAGTTGCTAATGTAACACTGGCATCTAGTTGATATGATTACATGTGCCATATTTCAAATATCGTTCAAACAAGATACCTAAAGTTGGGTATCAGGATAACACTTTTTGGCCATTTCAGCATTGAGACCAAATGTGGAGGCATCATGGAGATTAAAATATACTGTATACTGAAAATATTTCTTATTTTGTTTTAGTGATAGTGCCGTAATTGTTTTGAAGGGCCCAAGAGAAATGGTGCCTTTCTGCATCTGTGCTGAATTCCAGCTCCAGAGTTGTACATTTAGCACTTTTCACTGCTTAATTTCTTTTTCTCCCTTGTACATAAGCTTCCAACTCAAGAACACAAGTTTTTTTTTCTTCTTTGTAGAGACAGCATATATTTTGGGAGCAGCATGAATATGGGCAAACCCTCTTTTTTTTTTTTTTATATGTAATGCCATCAACACACTTCTGAAAGGAGTCCCTAAGGCTTTATGGATGTTGTCATTTTAAAGGTTATATTTTCCTGTCTGTGTACAGTTAGCTGGCATTACAGTTCAGGGTTGAAATACTCTGGTGCTGTTAGAATTATACATTTATAACCACTTCTGAAAAGTCATGTCTTAAGAACTGGTTGATGTGATATTTGGATATTATAGGATGAACAAATTGAAAGATAAACCTTGATCGTCTTTCAGAATATTGTCATCCCAGGACTACTTTTAATTGGCTCATTTAGTTGTGTGGGAAAACAAAACGGGATACGAACCCTGGTGTTATTTCAGGTATCCAAGAGAAGATACATTAATAAAACACAAAATGATCTTTAAAGGCAGAACAAATCAAACCAAGGGTTAAGCAGCATGGGAAAATGTGGACTAATACACCTGGAGAGAAAATACCGAGGGAAGTCTTGTTAAAAACCACGGGTAGTAAGGGTGAGAGCTGAGTACTGTTCCTTTCAGTGCTGCAATTTGTGTCTGAATTAAATGGATGCTTGTGTAT